TTTTTAAATAAAAAAATAATGGAAATAGGTGTACAAACCCTGAGATTTCTAAGCCATTTATAGTTAATTGAAATTTTCTAAATATATATAATAATAACAACATACTCTTCAGCCGAATCACGGCCAGTGATAAGATTAATCTTAAAAATAAGGTCATCTGTCGTAATCTGTTAGTTACTTACCTACTCCAAACATCTACGTTCAATATAACATCCGTGACAGACAGGCCTCTTCTATATCTATTTATATACCAGGTCACACGGACTGTACGGCTTCAGTACAGAGGCCAGAGACCCAAATACCAATGAACCTGCATATAGCACTTACACAAGTCTTTTTTGCATCTGGCTCAAGGACATCCCTTGAGCCTAAGTACCTAAATAGGATTATATTAGGCTTTCAAAAGTTAATGCAAAATATAATATATTATAAAACATTCAATTATATTTTTAAATCATTTATTAAATTGCACTGCTTTATTATCTTTGATCAGCGCGATCGTTAGCTGGTAGAGAATGTCATTAGGCATTAAGTCCGGGATGTATACAATTTAGTGTGCAAAAGAATAACTATATAAATAAATATATTTTCGCCAAGGGTGGAGAAGGACCTATATATTTTTTTAATGAAATTATGCCTTAAAAATCTAGGACAATGACAGTTCATCCTTGTCTTTATCTCTTTATTTGAGAAGGGCGCAGTATATCATCCTCTCGCGCTGCATCTCTATAGACTATCATATCTGAGCAGCTCTCCATCTGACAAAAAAAGAATGGATGGATCGTGTGAAAGATGAAATGTATAAAACATTTCATCTTTAACAGTCCATCCATTATTTTTCTGTCGTCTTCTCTCTTTCCATAATGGCAGTCTATAGTGTTAAATAATAAAAGAACAAATAAAAGTAATAGATAGTAGATTTGTTTTGCATGATCATGGTAAGATCATGGTAATCGTCAACTGTGGACATATTATAGATGTCATATGGATACCTAGTTATTTTGTATTTTTGTTTGCAATTCTCTATATATAATAAACGAAGGCTTGGGAAACACGTGATAATTGCTAACAAAAGATTTTTTTACAATTCAACGACTATTTTGAAGTATCTCATATCAATAGAGAAAAACGAATTGACACGAAACTTCTGAGAAACCGCACTTCTTAGTTGGTTGAAGTAGTTATTTTCCTGTCGTGGCGGAGACGTGGGAGTAAGGCGAAAATGAATGACGCGGGGGTGGTTCACCCCACGTGTGGAGCCGAAAACTTGTAGCCCGTGCCCTGCAGACTGTAAGGCTGACAAAAGACTTGACGTGCGGAGGCGTGTCATATTAGATTTACTATCTACTTATTATTTATCACTATGTTTATTTATAAAATTTCAACAATAAAAGAGAACAAGTCCATTTGACTATATCTAATCATTGAGGTCGCTATGTTAATACTTAATTCTAATTGAGTTGAGTAACTTAGCCGGGGTTGAAGTCCAACATTTGGACTTTGTGGTGGGCCCGTTTTATCGCCGACTCGGCGGTGAAGGTCGTTCACATACTTAAGTCTCACTTAAAAAGCAAAACATGATTTACGTTATCAAAGATTTGTTTATATTTTAGATCTATTTTTATTCGCTTTGTTATTTATTTATATAATTACGGACTTTGCCATTTATAATTATCTAAATGTAGATGATAATTATCAACTAATTTGGAATGCAATGCAATAAGCATTGCATTCCAAAGTATGGAAGGGACTGATGAAATATATTTAATTAAAAACCAAAAAAACCTGCGGTTCATAATAGCACTGTGATTTAGGCATTTTCGGGGATGACGAATCAGTGTAGATAAAACCCAGCCATATTAATTTAACGAGATAATTAAAAAATAGTTTCATTACTAAAATACTAATATTATAATGTGACCAAAGAGGATAGAATTAAACTGGTTTGTCCAGACGCATTCTTACAGAGGAAAATATATGTAATATTCTATATTTTATATATCCTTGTAATGAAAATAATTGTAACCTAGTAGGTATGTCATAGTTTGATTTCTCTGATACAAGGTACAAGGCGAAGAAATAGTTTTAAAAAGTCTTTGGTATAGGTATTATAATTTAGATTATAAATATTTTTTGTAGTAATAAAATACATATAGTATATACAACTACATAGTTACATAGTGATAATATGGGTTGGTACTATCCTAAAGTATGTCTATAATTCGTAATGTGACATACGGTGATATGTAAAATATGTATAGGTACCTACTTAATAAATAAATAAGGTATTACATATATTTATACTTTATATATATTATATATAATAATATATTACTCGGTTAAATCGCTTTATGCGCAGATACTAGTCAGAGAATAAATAACGACGTACAAATATATATTCAACGCAAATTAGTATTGTGAAATTATATTTCGTTCTTCATTCTTCAGATATACAATTATATTAACCAGGTAGTCCTTTTATCCTACATGGCAACTCGCACGATTTTTAGAGGTACAATCGATAAAGTTATCGATATACCCCCTTTTTATTTTTATTTTTATTCTTTTGTCTATCCCTGCATATTTCTCGTTTTCTGTTCATTCTTTTTTCGTGCGTGGCAACGAAAGCACCTATTCTTAAGTATCTCGGTAAAATAAAAATAATCATGCCGAAAAGGTGTGCTCAAGAGAAGATCGAACATTACAATCGAAAAATCAGAAAATTAGAAGAAAAACAAAAGCGGAAGAGAATTCCGAGAAACGTAATTTCGACAGACTCAGACGAAATCTCAGGTTAGTAAAAGTTCAAATTACTATAGTGTACAAGTCTTAAGTACATTGTACATACATTGAAGTACTTTAATAGCTAACCTGCAGTACTTCAATACTATGTGTAAAATGGGCCTGGAGGTTGACTGCGGGTCATCACGACGGTACCTTACACAAGATTATTATTTCAATAATCGTTATTACGAAGGCCCAGAGGTTGACCGTGGGTCATCACACGGGCTAATTAGTAATCATACTAATTTTCGTTAAATACGATGAAATAATAGTTACCTTTTCTTTTCCCGGGAGGTTGATCGTGGATCAACACGATGGTATATGTAATCATGCACCTAGAGGGCGACCGCGGGTCACCACAAAAGGTCATACAAACTTATATGATTAAACAAAATATAATATTAAAGGTTTCACAAAAAAAAAAAAAAAAAGTTTATTGTAGTAATAGCCTATTACAAAAATATTTATATTCGCTATATTACACGTACACTAAGCTACCTCAGTTGTACACAACTGAACTTATTTTTCTCGTTATTTTTTAGATAACGAGCCACGAGTCAGTAGCGAGGTAGTAATACCGGCTGCTACTCCACCAGAAACAGCCGCAAACCTACCTGAAGCTGAGACATCTAATCAAGATGCTAGTGAGACAGTTCAAGATTCAACCATAGTTCCCGAACTAGATCCCGAAATACTAATCGCCTTAGGCGAAGCAACGGATGACTCACCAAAATATGGTGAAAACATACACGACAATCTAGCTCGACTATGGCAACCTATTCTCAAAAAAGGTTTGAACAAAGAGTCAAAGGATAAATTATTGAAACAATATTTAATCCCGGCTAACTGTACGCTCCTTAAAGCCCCAAAGCTAAATCCAGAGATAGCTGCAGCTGTCTCGGACGCCGTCAGAGGACGGGATAAAAGAGTAGAAGCAGTTCAGGATCAGCTGGCTTTAGGGTTAACCGCACTAAACAGAGGTCTGTCGATTCTCCTGGACAATGATCAAGATAAACTCCAGGCAATAAAACTTATAAGTGACAGTTGTCGCATTTTGTGCGATCTACACTTCGTTGAAACTCAAGCTAGGACGAAATTCGTGACAGTCGGCTTGGAAAAGTCCTTCCTCAAGGTCATACAGGACGTTGACCGAGACGAAATGCTCTTCGGAAGCAGCCTCCCTGAAAAAATAAAAGCTTCAAAGGCAATAGAAAAACAAGGACTACAGATTAAAAAATCCAGTCCCATAGTTAAAACCCAAACGCCCGCTTCACAACAATCATCTAGTCGTACGGCCTCCCAGGGAAACTGGGTGGCCCCTCCCCGTTATCCATCGAACAGAGGAGGACGAGGGGGGGCAAGAAGGGAGTAATGACCAACCGCAGAGCTCCTGTTTCGAACGCACCAAAAACTTCATTCCAGACGAGACAACGTGCCCCAACGCGTCATTAATTGAGGTACATGCTGGCAGAATACAGCATTTCTATAATTGTTGGCTTAAAGTTACAAAAAATCCCGTAGTATTAAAATGGATACGTAATGGATACCCAATCCCGTTTAATAGGAAAATCAGCCAAAATTGCACCCCCCGTAACATACTAAATTCAAATAAAGAATTTTCAGATATGAGGGTAGCGATCGATAAATTGCTAGAATTGGGGGCTATAACATCTTGTAAACGAACTAAAAATGACTTTACTTCTAGTATTTTCTTAACTCCAAAACCAAACGGAACAAAGAGATTTATCTTAAATCTAAAACCACTCAACGAATTCATTCCAAAAGAACACTTTAAAATGGAAGATCATCGAACAGCAGCAAAATTAATACCTAAAAACGGGTTTTTAGCAACAGTAGATCTCAAAGAGGCGTACCTATTGATACCTATACAGAAAAGTCATCAGAAATATTTGCGTTTTATCTTCGATCAAACATATCAGTTTAAAGTCATGCCGTATGGCCTTTCGGTAGCCCCGAGAGTTTTTACCAAAATTATGAAAGAAATAATTATCTATCTCAGACAGCAAAGGCTTAAATCAGTTATTTACCTTGATGACATTTTATGTATAGGTAACACTCGGGAGGAGTGCCAGGATAATATAAATAAAACATTAAAATTACTTAAATGTTTAGGTTTTGTAATAAATTACGAGAAAAGCTCCTTAAGGCCGCAACAAACTTGCAAGTTTTTAGGTTTTATATTTAACACAGTAGATATGTCTATATCACTGCCCATAGAAAAACGAAATAACATAAGCAATCTAATCGATAGATTCCGTTCTTTACAAAAATGCACCATTAGAGAATTTTCTCAATTAATTGGAGTTCTAGTCTCTGCTTGCCCTGCGCTCAAGTATGGTTGGCTCTACACAAAAATATTAGAAAGACAAAAATATTTAGCGTTAAAACTTCACAACAGTTACGATAAACAAATAAAATTAACAGAATCAATATTACCAGAATTAGAATGGTGGAGAAAAAATATTATTTCATCCACCAACACATTGAGACCAGACGAAAATTTCGTAATGGAAATTTTCTCTGATGCTTCTAGAACAGGCTGGGGAGCATTCTGTAATGGTGCACGTGTAAACGGCTCTTGGACAGATGAGGAATATTTGTTTCACATTAATTATTTAGAACTCTTAGCTATATTTATGAGCTTGAAGTGCTTTGCTCGCGATATGTCCCACTGTTCTATACTGTTACGCGTAGATAATACAACAGCTATCAGTTATATTAATAGAATGGGCGGCATACAATTCCCACATTTAAACGATCTGGCTAAATCAATTTGGTGTTGGTGCGAGGAACGTAACGTTTGGCTTTTCGCGTCGTATATTAATACAAAGGAGAATACTATAGCAGATGAAGAATCAAGGAAACTAAATTTAGACACGGAGTGGGAGTTATCAGATTGGGCATTCCAAAAAATAGTAATAACTATTGGAAACCCGGAAATAGACCTCTTCGCCTCTCGCACCAACACTAAATGTCAAAAGTATATATCTTGGAAAAGGGACCCAGAGGCTTTTATGGTAGATGCCTTCACTATTAACTGGGACTCATACTTCTTCTATGCTTTTCCACCTTTTTCTCTTATACTCAAATGTTTGAGAAAAATCATTAGAGATTCGGCAACGGGCATTCTGGTTTTTCCCTACTGGCCAGGACAAGCCTGGTTTCCACTTCTACAAGACCTATTAGCATCAGAAATCATTACATTTAAACCTAGTAAGAAGCTTTTACTATCACGTTTCAGACAGCTGCACCCTCTACATCGCAGCCTTACCCTGGGGCCGCGAAGCTCTGCGGCTCGCCTTTATCAAAAGAAACACACCGTCGGTCGCACTAGACATTATGGTTTCTTCGATTGCGGAAAATACTCTAAAACAATATAGCGTCACATATAAAATATGGTGGCAATTCTGCGCAGCAAAAAACATTGAAACGCTTAACCCTTCAAACAAGGACGTGTTAATTTTTTTAGCAGAACAATATACAGAGGGAGCTTCCTACGGATCGGTAAATTCACATAGATCCGCTCTGTCTTTGTTATTAGAGAATAATATAAGTTCAGACGATCAAATAAAACGTTTATTAAAAGGTATTTACAAACAAAAACCCCCGTTACCAAAATATATCAATACATGGAACCCCCAAGTAGTTTTTAGCCATATCTCTAACTGGTTTCCAAATAAAAATATTACATTGGAGAAACTGTCAAAAAAATTAGTAACCTTACTTGCTCTCTGTACAGCACATAGGGTACAAACAATTTCACTGATCAAAGTTGATAATATTAATAAGAGTCCAGAAGGATTTAAAATAGTAATTACAGACATTATTAAAACATCTGCAGCCGGAAGAGAACCACCCATCTTGTTTCTCCCCTATTTCTTGGAGAATCCAAACATTTGTCCTGCAACAGCATTAGAAGACTATCTAGATATTACCTCGGATTTAAGATCAAACACAATAGAAAATCTTTTACTCACATACAAAAAGCCTCATGGAAAAGCTTCAAGTCAAACCATAAGTAGATGGATTAAACAAACATTATTAGAGTGTGGTGTCGACGTTAGACTGTTTAGTGCGCACAGCACACGACATGCATCTACTTCAACAGCGAACTACGCAGGCATCTCACTGGATGTAATAAGGAAGACAGCCGGCTGGACTAATTCCTCTCAAACATTCGCCAGATTTTACAATAGACCTATTGTAGACGAGGGTCTTTTTGCAAAAACAGTTGCTTTTCAACCATAAGATTAATAAGGTCAATTTATATACTTAATTTATTAGATCAGGATGTGATTACCAATAATTTAATGATAACTCTCAAATTATATTTATTTTCTTTCAAAAATGATAATCGCCTTTGTTATTATTATTAATATAAAAATAAAACTTTTCTAATTATTTCGAGGATTCATCTCTGAACATCTACCTGGTTAATATAATTGTATATCTGAAGAATGAAGAACGAAATATAATATATGATCAAACGAACTTCTGGAGTGAAGTTCGATCAATATTATATGAGTCTTCATTCTTCAGATATATAACACCCCCATCCCAAATCCCAGAAAAGTTTTATATTTGAGTCTCTAAAATATGAACAGAAAACGAGAAATATGCAGGGATAGACAAAAGAATAAAAATAAAAATAAAAAGGGGGTATATCGATAACTTTATCGATTGTACCTCTAAAAATCGTGCGAGTTGCCATGTAGGATAAAAGGACTACCTGGTTAATATAATTGTATATCTGAAGAATGAAGACTCATATAATATTGATCGAACTTCACTCCAGAAGTTCGTTTGATCATATATTATAGTGGATAATAAAAAGAACACTTTATTCTCCGCTGACAAATCTGAAATTTCTTGTCTATGGTCGTCGTCATAGGATAATCCTACATCTATGTTACCAATGAAACCAATGTTACTGTACACACACACCTAATACAAAATCGATAGAAAAAGAAAATCAATTTCTCCTTTTAACATCATTCGTTAACCTCTGTTGTAATCCTGCAAAAAAGGGAATTGTACCCTTAAAGATATATAATTCAGATATATTCAGTAGCAAATAAGCAATGTGCACTAAATTTCTCTAAATCTATATAATATATTAATAGCGCCCGCCTCGCCCCGGTTTTGTTTGGTTACCTAATAACATATTATATTAAAAAGCACATATCCGTCTTTAATATTGAACCTAACAAAGAGTAATAAATTTGGTCAAGTATTGTTTAGTTTTACCCATAAACAATTTTTTATAATAATAGTAGGTATAGATTATTTTAGTGGTGGCACTTTAAGACTTTAATGTGGAAATTAATTTTTTTTGCATTTATTTAAGCTTATACACATACATCTCTTAAATAAGTTTATTTAAATAATTATAGAATAGGTTATTTTGGGTCGTTTAATAAGAGTAATTTTAATTTAATCTATACATATAAATAAAATTGGAATATACATATAAATAATATTGTAATATTGAATTAACCGTTTTTTACTATATGCATATGAATATAAATATATTTTTTTTTATAATTTTTGTCTATCTGTTTGTCTGTTCCAGTTAATTTCTGAAATAGCTGGACCGATTTTGACGGGACCTTTTTTGGCACTACCTGCCAAAAAAGGTCCCGTCCCGGTCCCGATGTGATAAGGTGTAACTTATACTACTTTTATTTTAGAAAAATAAACTTAAATTCCACGCGGACGAAGTCTCGGGAACAGCTAGTAAGCTTAAATAAATACAAATAAGTCACAGAAATATTTCTTAACACAGATCACGTATGGGCAATGGTAATACTAACATGATACTAAAATTGCCGAAATAAACTTATTCCGGTCACGATTATTCCATTGTTCATGAAACTTAAATAGAAATATATTTAACCATAAACCATCGCGATAATGTAATATTTTAATAATAATTGTTCACATTACTATTTAAATACTTAAGCGTATATATGTAATTTATATACGGTCATAAATAAGATGTGGTGACGTTATATTATATACGTTATGAATTTACCCAGACAATACGGAGTGTGTAGAATACGTACAAGTTGACAGGTTAACTTTATTAATTTATTTTTAATTTTTGAGTAAAAAAACTTAAAAAATTGGTAATCTTCTTAACGTTTGAACTTTTTTTTAACCGTCTATTCAAGGAAGAGAAAATTTTGTTTGTTCGGTTCCGCTTTGGGTTTTGTGGAACAAAATATATATAAGAATCGCGTTAATATTTTAACAAAAGGTAACTATAGGTCTGTACGTACTTAATTAACTATTTACCTAATTTTAACCTTTTGGAAAAGCTGCTATTTATTTCGTTATTAATGGTCTAAAGAGGAAACTTTTTGACTTGCCAAAAAAAATTTAGGACAATGACTTCGAGAGCCATTGCTCTCGACATTAACAGACTCGAAACGTGTTTTAATGCTCAAACTTGCTACGTGACGTGACATATCTAGGTAAATAAAAAAATGAACCTTTGTCGGCACAAAGACCGGCTACCCTAATGGTATACACTGACTAAGCACTAATGAAGAATACAAGGGATAGATTAAGTTTTAGATTACATTAGTTGCCCTATCATGGGAAATTTACAAGAAGTAGAACGAGAACTAGAACATACGCGCAGGTCGACTGTGAGACAACATTGTTTAATAAGGAGTAACTATTTGTAATAGAGTGAGACGAGAGATGTTTAGGAATATTTGTTAATCCTCCTTATTGTGTATGCGACAATGATGTTTATTAAATAGCTACTTAATTTTCGCATTTCAATCGTAAATTCTGAAAACATATTACAATGACAGACATACAATAGGCATCAATTATACTTAGATTAGACGATAGAAGTATGAAAATTTGAAAATTGAAGTAGAAATAATTTTATATTTTCTTTACATAATATAGTGCTTGTTTGTAAGAGATTTCTTTAAGCGATAAATCCGCCTTTTGTTAAAGACATTTATACAAAGTGTTATATTTTTATACTAATTTTGTTAATGAGCCATAAAGAGTTTTTATTATAATTAATAATAACTTATTATTGTTATTACATACTTACATGAATCTAAATGATTTGAAATATTTTCAGTCAGTTTATATTTTGAATCGATCAACTTGGAACAAACGTGTTCATTGGCGTAGGACCTTGTTATACCGGTTATCGGCACCGCGCCCCCAATTTTTGCTTAGTGAATTTATGTGAATTATTTAATACAACCAGTTCAATCGAATCCGTTTGTGCTGTATGTATAAATTATGCTATCTGTCTAAATGTCCTTACTGGCATTTATCAACACACAGTCTAAAGCAATGACCCGTAATTTGCAATTGTTATTATTACTTTCTAATTTATTTATAGTAAGACTCTACCAGATAGCTCATTATTTGTATTCCTTTTTTATTAGAATAGTGTAGACATTCTTAGCATTTCATTGAGTGTTGGGTTCCCTTGTGGCTGAATCCTGAGTAAATTTCGAGACCAGTGACATGGGTTAAGCGACCTCATTGCGAGATTGTAGTAGTCTTCTTCCACTGACCATAACCTGTAAGGTCACTGTAGAATGCAAAAGTGATCACTCATCACCTTAGTACAATGACGAGGAGACGAAAACTTTGTAGTTTTTATCTCAGGTGTGTGAGATATTACATGTCGGTTTGAAATGAGTGGATATCTGTCAAAATATACGTTGAAAGTAAAGGTATGTGTGAATTCTAAACATAAGGTACTTATTCGATTAGTTAATATGAATGGGTGGGTCTATACAGTTTCAAGGCTTTGTTCAACAGTAATGTCATATATTTTATTGTTATGCCCATTCGCTTTTGTTATAACCATACGAATATTCTATAATACTATGACTTTATATACAGGAAAAAATATCAAGTGTCAGTAATCTGTTACAAAAGACCGAGTGACGAGCAAATATAAAATTATCAAAAACCTTTTGTGAAACTTACTTATACATAAAAACATAAATAATAGAATTAACTATATATTATGGCAAATAAAGGTTGCACTAGTGTAACCTAGTCGAAACGTCGAGTTAAGTAAATACCTTTATTTGTCATAAAATTATTCCTATTAAGACCCGATTAATAATTTAAATAATGTATATTAAACACGAAAGTTTAAAAATAACAATAGAATGAATGTTCTGTAATCGTATCTATATTAAAAGATTATAATTTCATATATCTTATAACTATGACACCATACATACTACTTCATTTAAAAAATCCTTTCATCATCTTACAAATATTATAAACGCAAACGAAAGTTTGTAAGGAAGTTTGTTACTGTACCACACGAAAACTGCTGAACAGTTTTTGATGAAACTTTGCTGTAATATAGCTTATACGT